GACACTGCAAGAGGGTGTTTGACCACTGGTATTCATAAGACATCACTCATTATCTGCTATCCTGTCTGTTATGTAGACACCCAGGAAATTGCTAAATTGTTGTGGCGATTCAGGTTTAATCAGAACTCAAGCTGGATTTGAGTTTGTTGGTGTCCCTGCTAACTTCTCTCCATTTCCATTATGGATGTTGGCTTAAATTATTGGTGTATGTTCTGTATTATTTTATTGATGCTATTGCTTAAAGTTTATCCTGGCCTTTGGCTAGAACAATAAACTGATGAACTGAACTAAGAAGTACTGCCATTCATAAAATATTGTATTTCACAGCCTGGTTTTTAAGCCTTTTCTACTTCACCTAGAAGAGCATAATGTGTACTAATTCAAATGAGAGCACTTGGAACCCCCATGTTGCTCATCCAGTTCTAGTGACTGGCCTCAGTCCGGTTGTTGTAGGGATAGCCAAAATGATCTTCTCTGGATGTTTTGGACTCCAAGCTGCCATCAGCAAAGGCCAGCGTAGTCAATGGTCATGGATGATAGGAGCTGTTTTCCAACAACAACTGGAGGGCCACTGGTTCCCTAGTCCTGAGCCTCAGACACTTAATGTGTGTAACAAGCAGTGGCTTTGAATGGTGGCATATCTCCCCATGCACATCCAAAGATGCAAATCGTGGAACTGGGCTGGTGTAAAAAGTCTTGTTATGCTGCACTGGCAAGCAGCAAAACTGCTGAAGCTGCGTGGCAAAGTATGGAATACTGGCTCAGTTGCCTGAGCAACAAGAATAAATTTCTCGCTCCAGCAGATCAGAGAAACAAGAATTGCAAATGGGCATGAAAAAGTGGTAGTCCCCTGCCTCTGGCATGAATGTTTTTTTGTGCCACTTGAAATGGCAACCCTTACAGTGCAAACCAAATCTTGGGAGATGAAGAAAAAAGCATAGCAGTAGTAGTATTTGGCAAGTTCAGTGGGACCCTAATGAGCATACAGTAAGGTTGATGGGGGGCATGAATTCATTCTTAAGCACACCTGCACCATGCAGAGAAGTCTGTTTCTCCTTTGCTGAATGGGGATAAATAACTTCATATGGTTCTTTAGTGTTGAGTATACATGAAGCAAAACTAAGCACTCAATGAATTTTCTCTCTCTTGCTAGTGCTGTTGATCTCTGCAAATTTTGAGGAACTCTACTGATCAACTTAGGAAAGCTAAAATGTATTCTTTGAAGTAAGCTATCATGGTTAGGAGAAAATGACATCCTCTTAATGAAATAGCAACATTGAATGTAGTCTGGGGCTTGGAAGAGCTGTCTGCAGACAAATGCCAGCTCCCTCGGCCTGAAAGTGGAGATGAGCGCCACACCCCATAGTCGAATTCGACTGGACTTAATTGTCCAGGGGTCCTTTACCTTTTGCTGCATAACTGAAAAGGCATTCATGGATGGGTGATGCAATCTTTGAACATGAAAGTTTCTGAAAGAAAAGTGGAGCTGCAGAGAAGTAGCCATGGAGGTCCAAGCTGTTGTTTTCTTGGAGAACACAAACCCATGTCCAGGTTTCTTCAAAAGTGGAGCAGGATCACAGTGGTAGAAGGGTGGGGAAAGATCAGCCAAGATCACACTGCCCGTTTGCTTCAATGTTTGCTTCAAGAGCAAACTGCCTGTTTGTCAAAATGTGAATATGTTAGTGGAAGTGTGACAGTGTGCTCAGGGTGTAAAAAGCCTTGGCTTGGTCTTTTGTATTCTGGATGGGAAGAAAAACATAGGTCTGAACACTAGCTCTCTTGTGCATGCTGTCATTCATTTATGGCAAGTTTTCCTGGTTAATTAAGGTGCTGGCAGGATATACATCCAGGCTAGGCTCTGCTGCACACAGATGTACTTGGCACATGAAAGCATGGCCTTGTACTTTTGATTTGCTTGGCTTTGTCTGTTGCCTCCCTTTCCCCCCCCTCCCCACTCCCCTCTGCTTGTCTACAAATTGCAGGAGTCTTCCTCGCACAAATGCACAGTTTCCTAAAGGCCATGGGAAGCCATATGAATGCAATGCCACTTTTGAAGACTGATACCCTTCTCAGTAGCATGTGATAGCTGTAATCCTACAAGAACAGAATTCTAGCTAGAATTGTACCCAAGCTATTAGAAAGTGTGAAGTGGTTCTAACCTGGGACTTGCTAAGAAGAAACATGGTGAAATCAAAATATATGGAGTTTTAGGCACTAAAATATGTAGGCCCCCCCCCTCAATGGCATAGCTTACAACTGTGGACTCGTAATCTGGTGAACCGGGTTCGCTTTCCCGCTCCTCCACATGCAGCTGCTGGGTGACCTTGGGCTAGTCACACTTCTCTGACATCTGTCAGCCTCACTCACCTCACAGTGTTTGTTGTGGAGGAAGAAGGGAAAGGAGAATGTTAGCCGCTTTGAGACTCCTTAGGGTAGTGATAAAGCGGATATCAAATCCAAACTCTTCTTCTTCAACTGTGCTCTTGGAACTGCATGGGCAGGTATGTTGTGCACAACTACACACATAGTCCTACTGCTACCTTTTTCATGGAATGGCATCATCTGAAGCACTTAAGTGGAAAACACCCAAGGGATCCTAGTACACACAGGCAATTTCAAAGGTTAGAGTGAAGAACTAAATTGGACATCTTCTGGCTGTCCAAAGGAGAAAAGGTAACTGCTACATTACAATAAATGTCTTTTCCCCATGATTAGTTTGCAGAAGCTTTTTAAAGTCCTGCATTTTAAGGTATGTTCAAATGCCATGTATTACTTACGAAATATGCAATCTGGTGGGTTCCCCAGAATTTTACTGAATGCGCAGCACTAGTACAGAGCAGCCATCCTTGCTATGGAGCATTTGGATGCATTTGGATCCAAAATCTCCCCCCAAAATATTGAGAATTATGGAGAGGGAAACTGTTAAAAAGGAGACGGAAATGAGATATTCCCCCCAAATATGAGTCAGCAAGCTAAGCTGGGAGCAGAATTACAATCAGACCTCAGTCTTAAGTTTGAAACCGCATATCCTTTTAGGAGATATGACCAGGCAATTTATGGGCAGGGTAGTGAATGCCAAAGAGTTCTTTTGAGGAGCTCCAAAATAAACATTGATTAAAAATTCCAAGCTATATTATGAAAAAGAAAATCTACTGCAAATGAAAAAGGAAAGTCTGATTCATGTGTGCAAGCTCACTCGCAGGAGCCTGCTACCCCCCTGCCAGAATAAAATTGATGATGCAGCCTTCTGGGAGTCCCTGCCCTATACTTCAGGCGCAAAGCTGATCACCACAGTTAAGCAGGGAATTCTCCACTATTCTTCATACCAGATTGCAGCTGCAATCTAAAACTACATTTACATGGAAGTAAACCCTGCTAGAAATAAGTGTGAACTAAAGAGGAGGGGAAGATGCATGTGTGAAAAGGGTACGTATTTTTGGATGTAGTGTTGCTTGCAGCTGAAAAGGCTCTTCATTCCTGGACAAAACATCTTTCTTCTAATCCTGTTCAATATTCATACCTTTTTGAGAGGTTCTTTTTCTGATGGTGAGGTCTGCTTTTATTTCACAAGGAAACCCTTCCCTCAAATGAAGTAGGTTGTTTGTCTACTGAGTGCATACCACAATAAATTGTAACGTTTAAAAAGTTTCCCCAAGACTGTTTTTTTGCAACAACATGTTAAGATGACAACTGTTCCAGGAAGCTGCATGAGGTTTATATGATGCAATATGACAACAGCTTCCGAAGTGTGCATTTGAATCCACAGTAACGTGTTAAGAAACTGTTACCTGCAGTGGCATAGACAGTGGGATGGAAACATAAATGTACATAGGCACTGTAATGTCACATTGTCCACAACTGTCATTCCCACAACACACAGGTGGAAGCTGCATGTCACAGTAAGCTATCAGCCATGGTTTATGGTGCAAAAGCAAATCGTGCCCACTTTGCTCCTCCCTGGTAGTGCACGGAAGAAACATGATGTTTGGGCCTGGCATTGCATCTGACTGAACCAGGGACCATAGTTTGCTTTTTGCTCAGACAAACCACAACAGGTAAGAACAAACGTTGGCTTATCATTGTGGTTTGTCTGGAGCAAAAGAAACCACAATTCCTGGTTCTGACATAACCATATGTCAGGAATAATGGTTTGTTTCTTCCACATGCTAGCAGTGAGGAACAAAGCAGGCCCATGGGTTGGAATACATGGCAGAAAAAGATTTGAGAACCTGCCAGCAGTTCCACATCCTAAGCTTACAATGCCTACAACAGGTACAGAGAGACAAGGAAACTAAAGGAAGCTGGGCAATCTGATCTGCTGTTTCCACTTCTCCAAAGTGGCTGGGGAAACCCAGCCAGATGGGCGTGGTATAAATAATAAAATTATTATTATTACTAATACTTAGGCTTAGAAGCCATTCCAAACAATGTGTACATCAATGTATGTGGGGAGCCCCTGTTCACAAAAGGGACACAACACCAGGTTTTCTTGGGGCACAGGAGACCTTGTCTATTATAAACCCCACTCACCGCAGGCAGAAAGAGGGAGAAGAAGTAAAATGTCCATCCTTATATTTTAATGGCAAAACCCAACAAAACATTTAAACTGTCAGAGAAAAGCCAACGGAAGCACACGCTTCCAATACAGTTACAAAAATAATAATAATACAGTCCATCAAAAGTGTCCTAATAGTCTGAATCTAGGAGACAGGAAGTAGGTATTGCACAGGGGAGGAAAAAAAGAAGATCCACCCTCAAACACATTCCTCCCCCTTGGAAGTAAAACAAGCCAAGATTTGAATTGCACAGCAACTCGGCTTAGGACACGCACGCGTGCACAAACACACATACAGAGGAAACGGGGGGAACAGTGTGCTTTGGAACTACCTGTACAAAGTTTAAGAATACATATAAAAGGAGAGAAGGAGAGACGGCAGGCTTGTGGGATATGAATGCTTCCAGGGGGCTCTCCTGTACATCCAGCTATAGAAGACCACTTTTCACAATTTAAGACGACCAAAGCATGAGCCCTGACGCAGCTCGGAAGGGGGAGGGCCCTGTGTGTCTTTCTGCGGTGTCAGACCCTTCTCTTCCACCTCACCTGCAAGATCCATTACTGGCTTGGCCAAAAGACACGGCTGATCCAGGCAGGAAGCTTGGCTGTGCCCTGGCACTAATTGCCAGAAGAGCCTTGGGTGTTTTGCCATAGCTCTGGAGAGGAAGGCAGGGAAATATAGTGTGTGCCACAGATATAAGAGTATCTGAATGAATGTCTGGTTTAGGCCAAGTCCACGGTTCACCTGGGAACTGGGCCCAGAGTGCTGTGTTTGGGTGTGGCCACACCTGGGAAGAAGAACACTGCTAGGTGGGAATGTGGATTCAAACAAACACATGGGCATGTTCCGAAGTCTCAGGTGCTGTTGAGGATTGTCAATGCTTCTAATCATAGACAGGAGCATTAGGTACAGAAAGGAAAGTCAGTCTTGGAGGAGGATAGGATTCCAGGCAGATGCAAGTTATTTCCTAACAGAGGATAGCTGGAGAGATGTAGCAAGCTCCTAATCTTCCTGAGTCTTCCGAAACATAACAGGCCTTTGCAGTTCTTTCCCCCAAATTCAAACCCCTTGCATCTATAGTAAACAAAGATTAGGTTTGTGTGCAGACTTCCTTTACCCACCAGCTTGTCCATGACTCCTATGCCGTCTAAGATGCACCAATGCAAAAAAGAGAAAGGGGGGGGGGGACTGAGCAAATGCTTCTTTTGCAAACCCCTATAGCTCAATGCTCTTCTGCTTTCCAATGTTGTCACTATCCCATGGAAAACCATTAGTCTTCTAAACTGTTTCAGAACACTGCTTGCAGCCTCACTGAGGCTAAGTTCTTGCTGCAAACTGGAGATTTAAACTTACATAAAACAAATTTCATCCACTGCCAGCCTGCTTTTCCTTAGACTAAGCAGAGCTCTCAGCTCCCTAAATTTCTGACAGGACTGCCTGTTTATAGGATTGCAAACTGCCCTACTAAAAGTCAGCTGGGCGTCTCTGTTGTTTTTGCTCCCACTCCTGGCTACCTGCTCAATGTATTTCAAGGATGACAAATTAGCTTTATTGCAGCTAGAGACATGCAACTGGTTAAATGCAACTGATCCAGAAGACTCTGGAGAAACCACAGGGCTGGAAGCAAGACTCCCAGTAGCCATTGCCAGAGCATGTTGAGGAATGAGTTTCTTCAACATTAGGTGACTGCCTTTTTGTGCATATAGATAGATATGCTGGAGAGACCTGGATAAATAAACTGCTTGGCATAAAAACCCCCAGATCAGCTTGCAATAGTGCTGAAGATTCCTGAATATCATAAAGTGTATGGATACCAAATTACAATAATTCAGGGTAAGTCTTGGCAGTGGGACTGCAGGGGAAGTTGAAGGTGTGCATGTGTATGCCTAGGCTGGATCAAGGAATAAATTGTAAAGACTATTCTTGTTCAGAAAAGGAACTGGGGAGGGGGACAGTTCCATCCCTTACCACTAGCGACTGGTCCCTTGACAAATGGATAGTGTGATATTACCACTGGCTGATGCACTTGCTTCTCTATACTGCAATGTATGGTCTATAGCAAAAGCCCTTAGTTCCTACTGGTGATAAGAGCTGATGGCCTATTCAGGGTGGGCTTTGAGCGCCCCTCTCAGCAAACCTTAACACGTTTCGCACACATTCACAACAAGTTGCTGTCTCCTCGATCACAGAGTGTGAAAGGGAGAGAGAAAGCAGCATGTAAGAATGGAGGCAAAAAAATCCCTCCAACCAAACAAAAAAGTAGGAAAGATTGGAAGGAGGCACTTTCTTCTTCTTCAAAATTTCTGGTGCAGCAGACTCAAAAGTCAGCTTGGAGCAGCTTGCTCTTACTTGCAGAGAGGGATGAATGCATGTGGTGTGGTCCTCCCTGGACATACCAGGCACTTTCATCCTGTTACATAGGCACCCCTTACAGGTGGGACATACAGTACGGGGCCAAAGGGCAAGGGGAGTGGGGAAAGGGCAGATGGGGAGGATATGTTGTGCTGAGGCTGCAAGACTGGCCCATGACTATTTTTGTGAGTAGTCTGGCTGCTTGCCACTGCGGCTGCCACCCAAGGTTCACACCAGTAACGGATCCCAGTGATGTGCGGATGGCAGAGGCAGGGGTGCAATACACCGCCAGCATTTCCATCCCTACGTCTCAAGAACTGCGGCAGCAACTTTCCAGTAACAGGATATTATCACCAGGGCAATGGGCACAGCTCTTGGTCACACTACTGAGAAAGGCAGGACCTGTTGCTGGAGAAAGTGGGGGGACTCTAAAACAGCAGGGACTCTGCCCCTTGGAGACCTTGCATGCCAGGTGGCAGGGCCCCCCAAGAGGGGCTCCGACAGTGGTTGGAAGACACCAAGGTCTTCCTTCCCAGTGCTTCGAGGGAGCAGCAGGGCCCTCTGTAGGAGCTGGAGGCAGACAGGAAGGGAGCATTAGGCAGCAGAGCCCATCCATGGAATGTGGTGGTGGGGAACGTGGAGTCAGCGCTGCTCAACACCCACTGCACAAATAACAGTGCCATGGCCAAGCCCAAACCAAGCCCCCAATCCTCTCCATGCTGGATATTCAAGGAAAGGCTGGCCAGGCTCCTGTGCCCCAAGGCAGGGATAAGGCATGCTCTGAGCACTACACGGCTGTCTCCTGGTCCTCCCGCTGGATCATCTGGTAGTGCTGACGGTTTTCGAGGTAGGCAGCCAGGTCAGGGTCATTTGCCTTCTCAGCTCTGTGCTTGGGTGTGTCTCCCTGCAAGAGGGAAAACAAAAGGCAACAGCAAGTTATTTATTTTAATTTACTTATCTACTGCATTTGTGCCCCGCCTTTCCTCCAAGGGGCTCAAGTTGGCATCCTCCCTGCTCCCCACCCCTGATTCTATCCTCACAACTGCCCTGTGAAGAAGCAGTGATTGGTCCAGGGACCTCCAGTGAGCTTCACGATGGAATGGAGTGGGGACCTGAAGTCTGACAACCCAAAATCCTAGTGGAACAATACACCACATGACCAGCGGGCCTTCATCTCCTCTTCAGAGTAACCTGTTCGGCAGCAAATCTGCTGTGAGCCATTATACTGAGTATTACCCAATCGCAAGATTTAGAGGCAAGCTTGAATTCCCGCCATTGTTTATATAGGTGTTTAGGAATTTGTTTCTTTACCCCATGTGAGCAACTTGCACCATCAATGAAATATTAAACACTAAGATCAACCACAGAATTGCAGATTCAAACGAAATAAAAATACTTAAGAGCTCTTACTTAAAAGTAAGGTATTTGCCTGGGGCCAAAATGGCCTCAATGTGGGTGCCAGACAAGCTTTCCTAGGGTGAGCATCTCTCAGCCAGGGCATCACCACCAAAAAGGTCCTCTCCTTAGTAACCACCCACAAACATTGCATTTGGGGAGACCCTGCTTTTACTTTTAGGCTTCATATTATCCCCATAGGCACACATCTGGCTTTTGGGGGGTACTGCGTGTGTGGGTCTTCATTCAGTCCCCCTCCCCTGCCATGAACACACTAGGAAAGACTAAGAGAAGTATCCAAGGACAGTGGAATGTGATATTCTGGGGTGGGGGAGGATGTGGGGAGAGAGAGAGAGAGAGAGAGAGGAAATCTCATCCTTTCTCCCCCTTTGAAGCCCCTTTTTACAATTTCTGCTGTCCTCAGAACAACACGGAAGGCAATCTTACTCGGCTACAAGTGATCGCCAAAGAAGACGACTGCCAGACTGCTTTAAAATATATAGGTAATGATAAAGCTCAGAAAAGTTATATTCTACTGAGCTTTAAAACTACCCAAAGACGCCACACCAGATAGCCAAATTCTACTATAAACAACACAATCACGGCTGAGCAGCATTCGGCGACCGTTTAAAGCCCTGGCGACATTATGTGTAATTTTCTGCACATGGTGTGGGGTAGGGAAGAGTCTGCAGGAAGGGACTTCCCACGAGTTAAGAGAAGCAAGCGAGGGCCTCTGGTATGGGCCTCTGGAGGGACATACGGCTTAGCCTGGAATATCTATGTGCAAATGCAAGCATGAGCAGAAAAAGACTCCGAGCCCTTAGAAAAACGTTTGTGGCTGAGATCTATTAAGTCGAGTGTTGCCTCAAGGAGGAGCAGGAGGAGGAGGGGCGAGACTGGAAACCAAAGGAGCATGTTGGGAAGGAATGCTTAGGGATCTCTGGGAGATTAACAGCTGACAGCTAGATAAGTCCTCAAGGACCTGTTTGCATGCTCCTGCCACCACCCCCTTCCCCCAAACCCAGTTGCTGGGAAAATAAAATGAAGGCCTGCGTTTGAATATCCTCACTACCAATTGCATTGACAGGAAAAAAGGTGATTGCCTTGCACAGTTGTACAATGAAACCTTGCCATAGGCAGCTTATTTTCCTGGCCTGCAGAAGCCAGGATAATCCAAGCAAAAAGAGTGGGGGTGGGCTGGGGTGAGGTGTGTGTCTGGGGAGTGCCCTGAAATACCATCTCCTCCACCTCCCACCCCCACCAGCAGCCTTACTAGAGCTCCTGGTCCCTGCGGAGGCTCACATTTCACGAACTTATTGCAGCCATCTGGACTGCGTCCACTAATGAACTCCTACACTCCATAAAAAGCAAATCTGTTAACAGCTTTCAGCCATGTCTCCCCCTCCCTCCCCCCTCTCCCATTCCACAAGCCTCTGCCCCCCCTTCCCCTCATTAACTACCCCCACCCTCCACCAGCACGGAGCAAACTCTGCTGCTGAGAAAGGCCAAGGAAACCTGGCTCTCTGCCGTCTCCATTGAAAGTGGGAGAGGACAGGCCTTCTATGCTGGGCCCTCGCATCCCAGTGGGGAGAAGGCAGCAAGAAAGGAAGGGACCCCGAGACAGTCGCCGGCCATATTTCACAGGGTTGCACATTGGTTTAGATGCAGAGGTTCTCTCTCTCTCTCTCTCTCTCTCTCTCTCTCTCACACACACACACACACACACACACACACGCACAGAGTTGTAAATACAAGCACAAGCTCCACTGGCACCTCCCCCCCCCCAAAAGGATGGAGAGACAAAGGCAGAGCAAAGGTCATGCACAAACCTTCCCCACAAAGAGGAGACACAGATTCACATGCAAGAAAAGAGAAGGCAGACATAGCTGTAGTACTGCGCTAGGTACCACTGCCAGCACCAAAGGTTTTGCTGAATGAGAGATGATTTTCTCTTGCAACAAGGAAAACAAGCAGAGAGCTTCTCTACTTGACCATGCAGCATTTAAGCTTGGAATCAGAACCTCCCCTCCACTGCCCCTGCAGCCGCATAATTCGATGATGGGGGCAACGTGGACCAAGTCTCTGCTCAAGACATGCTAGTACTATTGGTAAAGAATGAGGGCTCATAAATTCACACAATGCAGTTTCCTCTGTCTGCTTGAGAAGCAGCATGGGTTCCCAGCATATGCCTTATTAAAGTAGGTAGGCATGTTGAAACTTATGGCACGATGGTAGCCAGGCTGCGTTGAGCCCGTGGCAAATGCAGGAAGCCGTATTAAGAGAGGGTCACCAACCCAGACGTGTGTTCTGTCTCAGAAATGCAAACCCTGCTGGCTGGAGGGCCAGAACCCATTTCTATGAGCAGGGGGAAAGGGGCATTCTTACTTCACACAGTGAAAAAGCCCTACAAGCTTCAGTATGCTGGCCAGTCTCAAAATATCATCTTCCTCTCTCACCTTGGTCCTCTTTTCCCCATTTCCATGGCTGCTCAAGTTCTGCTTCCAGCTAAAGTCACTTTTGCTTGGGTTGCATCCTGATTCCTGAGCCATTGGCAAAAGGTTAGGGGAGCAAGCGAGTTGCCAAGAATTGGCTATAAAACAACTTCACGCAGTTGGCAAAGGGTTTTTATTGCTTGTCTGAAACGCTCCAATGCTTTTATAGCTCCATTAGCATCGACTTCGGTCAGGTGAACTCACAAGCCCCAGGAGCTTTTGGCTTCATGGCATGAAGCATCCCCACTGGCTGGGCTTATTGTTCAGCTTCGGGTCACAATAACCGGCTGGCAGAAAGGCATCTCAACTGGCCAGAGAATACATGTTTGCTTCTAGTCTGCCGCTGGCCAGCCCCTGGGAGCACTGGGACCAAGGGACAGTCTCAATTCCTTCTCCATCAAGAAGGAATTCTGGCACAGAGACGAAAGTGCATCTTGTGCATTGTACTCTAAGGTGCCCAGACTCTCTGACATCAAGCGATACTCCACTTGCATATGGGGGGCAGAAGTTTACTCTACTGCTGTGGAGCTGCTCATTTGTATGCCTTTCCTGCTGTGGTA